CAGGAACCCTCCCCCAGCAGGCCCGGGAGCTGCCGTCGGTCTGCGGGCGCAGACGGAGCCGCCCCGGCAGCGTGCCTGGCAGCATGCGAGTGCTGGGTGCGCTCCAGGGAGTTTGCTGCTCTCCGGGGTAAACAAGCTCTCTCCTTCTGCCACCTCTGCAGTTTAAGCAATATTCTCCAATGTCACTTGGTTAGTTTTTTTAATGGAAATAATTTGTCTTTAAGTTTGGCCCCTGCCCAGTCCGGTTGGTCACTCGCCATCCTGCTGTTTCACACCCAGAAGAGTAATAATGGTGAACCGAAACCTTCATTTGGTAGAAATGCCAGATCCCAAGGATCAAGTGCAATTTGTATGCTCTTTATGTTTACATTTTATCTATAGAGAAAGTATATTATAGTTCTCTAGGCGGGGAGTTGAACCAACTTGACTCCAGATCCTCTCCCCCCTCTCCCTGCTCTTGTCCTATGCGCTGGGATTTCCAGCAGCCTCCTGTGTCGGGATGCTGGGAGCCTCACTGGGAGGTTACTGCTGGAGGGGCTGGCTCCGGGTTGGTGCAGCTGCCTTCAAGGAGGTCTGGGGAAATCCAGGGCTTGGTGACGAGGTACAGAGCACTTCAGAGTCTGGGAAGCGGACCTGACCGTGAGCACACAGTGACACCTTCCTCTTGAACCCCCCAGAATAGACCCTGTCTCCAAAGTTATGGACATGAGGAGGGGCCGGCGCTGGGTGCTGCCTGCGGCCACTCTCAGAGCTGCCGGGATCTGCTCCTTCGTCCCTCTGAGCGTTGCCTAACTGGAGAGCTAAACCTCAGCACTAGCTGGAGAGAGAGAAACCTCAGCACAGCTTATCTAGAGTCATGGCAATTTCTCCTGGGCTCCAGTGACCGGTGGCTTGCAGGGAGCCGTGGGTCCCTTGGGAAGCCCCTGTGGCCATGTGGGCAGGGGTGCCTGCGCTCCCCCAGCAGCCGAGGTCTGCACGGGGTTGGCAGCCCCGCAGCCTCCTCTGCCATTTGCTTGTGTCATCGTATGATGCTCACTCTGTGCTAGAGTACTCCAGGTAAAAATGCGACCATCTTTCAATCATTGCTTTAGTGTTTCCCCCACTGAATTAGGCTCCCGTACTACATTCTCGAGCACAATCAGAATTGAAGGCGTAATTTCTTTGTCTGAATCTCTCTAGCTGTTCCCAAAAGAAATTCAGTGTTTAGTTACTTTTCTGACTTACTTTGGTGAGGGACTCGGATGTGGTGTTTCAGAAAGCTGTTTCTTTTAGACAGTATGGTTCTGTGGATGGGACTGTGCTCTAACTCAGGAGAAACGAGGTATTTGCTTTCCTGGCCTCTCCTTCAAGAAAGAAAAGAAAAAGCACATAATGGAAGTATGCTTTCTAGCTTAGCTTGTTGCAACAATAAACACTTTTAATTGAGCTCCTCATCAATACTGAAGATAATAAAATGAGCAGGTTGAGTTATAGATTGTTGTTATGATTTTAAAATTAGCTTGCATCCTCTCAGCACCTCTCTTTGGGGAAGTATTCAATGCCGTATAATTAAATTAATTAGCAACACTGTTTTGAAGCTGCTCGACCAAGGGAAATGCCTCAAAACGATTTCAGTCTCTTTGCCCATCCAGCCTCCGGCACGGTGCAATGCTTCTTCCTCCTCCCTTGGTTTGGAGAAGCCCTGATCACATCGGTGCTAATAAGGGCTCAGGACTGGCCGAGCACACTCAGCCTCGCTGCAGCAGCATTAGCGTTAATGGGCTTGTTCAGAGAAGAAAAAAGAGCGAGTGTTTTGTAATCCGCAGGCTTTACTGGAGCTAATAAATACTGTTACGGGAGGATTAGATTTTAGATGTTCATGCAGAGTGGAGGCCAGTTATGAATTAGAGGAGCAGAGCAAGCGAGTGTGTCTAAGCTCATGTGCGGACATGACCGTCGGCCGTTCTTGTACGGAGAAGCACCTAATAAGCAACCCCGATCCCTCGGCGTGTGCCGTCGGCTGTCGGTGCCCTGCGACTGTAGAGCAGGACACTGTTTCCATTGTGTGTCCTCTGGAAGTGCAGCGCAGCAGTGGTGTGTGTCAGCAGCCGACGGCCGGGTGCTTTTGGAGGGGCAGCGACACAGACGCAGTGTCCAGCCTTGCCTCTTCAGAGCCGGTGTTTGGGAGGCTGGACGGTGTGCTTTGCTGCCCTGATACAGTAGCAGGAAACCTCCTGTTTCTGGGCTTTGCTTGGTATTCCTTGTGGGGACATCTCCACTAGATGTTCCTCTCTGCCGGTAGAAAAGGCACAGCAAGCCTCCCTGGGGTGGCTGGCGAGCGATGCCTGCTGCTCGCTGCAGCTCTGCTCTGCAGGAGGACTCTTGCAGGAGAGGCCCTTTCCCCTGAGCTCCCTCGTCTGCAGTCCCCGA